CGAGTTTAGTTGCTCGGCCAACAAGTTCAGTCTTTGCCCGAGTCGTGTAGCTCGACCCCCCGACCAGGGACTCGCTAGTCCAAACCTGAGCCCGAGTTTAATTGCTTGGCCAATAGGTTTAATCTTTGCCCAAGTCGCGCATCTCGGCCCCTCGACCAGTGACCCGCCAATCCAAACCTGAGCCTGAGTTCAGTTGCTCGGCCAACAGGTTCAGTCTTTTTTCGAGTCGCGCAGCTCGACCCCCCGACCAGCGACTCGCCAGTCCAAACCTGAGCCCTAGTTTAGTTACTCGGCCAATAGGTTCAGTTTTTGTCCGAGTCGCGTAGCTCGGCTCCTCGACCAGCGACTAGCCAGTCCAAACCTGAGCCCAAGTTCAATTACTCGTCCAACAGTTTCAACCCTCGCCCGAGGCGCGAAGCACGGCCCACCGAGCAGCCCCATGATAAAACAGCCCGACTACCCCTCACAAGCAATCGATCCACACGCGACACTCCTACGAGCCAGGCATGCCCCTCGCCCTCTTGCAAGGACCTTGTGGCACGCCTTAGGAGGGAGAAGTGATAAGGTATATTTTGGATTCCAACTAAGTCATAACCCATGCCCCTGCCAAGTCAGCACGAGGAGTTCTTCCACACGCTAAGCCATAATCTGTACCGAGGCACCCTTCGGTACGTCCCATCCCGGAAAGCTCGGGACGGCGTCGTATGGTGCCATTTTATGCATTCCGGACGACGACCGTGCAAAGGTACCACCTCGCCAATCGAGGATCGACCACCGCGCCAAATCTGCATACAATCAATCCTCGCGCAATGGTATAAAAGCCCCTGACGGGCATCTAGCTAGGGAAAGAAAAAAGGGAGGCTACCACCAACTTATTCGACGAGGGGCCACTGTCGGGAACTCTCGACGAGGGCTTTCTGTGCAGGAGCTCGGCTCCTCCTAAGAAGCGCTGTCGTCCCGATCAGGAGACACCTTCCCGGAAGACGGAGTCAGTGCCCCGACCGAGAGATGCCATCCCTCAGACGGTGCCACCGCATCCTGACTTCCTAACATAGTCGGTTTCGGCACTTCTTTCAACCGATCGCGAACTCCCGACATCGACCCATGGACCAAACCGTGTTGACTCATCGGCGTATTTGTTTACCAACACTACTTATTCACATTAGAAGAAAGAAGTACAATCAAAACTGTTCTATAATTCACTAAAAGAAGTTAATTGTTCATCTATCTCTGCTAGCTACTGGAAGCTTTCGAGTAACACACTCTGCTGGCCTTGGGCTCTGCTAGAAAGTACTTCACGGTCAACTTCTCCACTCCTAGAATGAGACATCAAGAGGGCTTCTTTGCCTCCTTGCTGTGGGAACCCATTGGTGCTGGAGCAAACAATGGCCATCGAGCCATTTCTCTTTGGAATCATTACAGAATATCTTTGGTGTCTATTTTGCAGACACTTGAGAAGAAGAGTGACATCACAAGACATGTTACGGTGATTACAAGCGTCATGCCGTTTAACATCAAGGTGGAGTCACTTGTTGCCGGAGGGACAGATCCGAAGACTGTTGATCCAGTAGGAATAGTCGTGTTGAGGACAGATGAGCTTGTGCTGTCAGTGCAGGTGTTAGCAGATAATTCTTCTGTCAGTTGCGATGATCGTAAAGGTAACTGGATTCTACTGCAAAAGAAATTGCCTTCAGGGAGGAGATTTTACCTTGTTGATGGATGCTGACACGTTGAAGTACCTGCGAGAGCACACAGTGAGAAGATTGCCGAGAACTAGACGTTACGTAAATGAGCACCCAGATCCAATACAGGTGGATGTGTCAAATCGTTGTTGCTTTCAGAATTTGATTGGCCTAAGCAAAGCTATCGTTGTCTGTTAGTCTTTGAGTGGTAGGATAAGGTAGAACCTGATACCATCAAGTTATATGCAGACATTTGGCACATTGTGACCATTTTCTCTCTCAAAACACTCCGAGTTATAGGATTTGATCACTATTAGTCACGAAGCATAAGATTTGCTCAAATCTGTGGTAAAAGAGCAATGAGATGTGATCAAACTTACTTGGATCCACATTGGTAATCACAGCTGTTCCTCCAAAATCACAGCTGGTAGGAATTGGGTTCTTCTGGTAGTACTCATTGAATGCATACGATGCATGATCACGGACTGTATTCGGGTTGTAGCAGCTGCCACCTTCCTGAATTGCCGAACAATCTGCGCCGCCATATCCACACGCATAGTCTAGAGCAACCTGCAGTCCAGTCTTGGATGCAGTCTGGCTTGCAACACACCAGCTTTGGCTGGATGACGATGATGATGATGGGGTCACCATCGCCGGAGTGGAATATGGGTCCGTAGTCGGAGTGGTCGATGTTGTGGGAAATGGATTGTAGTCGGGAGTCGTAGTAGTTGGGGTGGTGATCGTGGGGTTGAGCACCGGAACTGTAGTTATCGGAGTGACAACATCCATTTCCGGCATCGTCTTCGAGGATTGCAGCTCGGTTTCAGCTAGTAGAAACCTGTTGAATTGTTTTCCAGGTTCATAAACCATTTCTTTGTTGGAATCGGTTGTCCGTGCGAGAGATGGACCGGATGACAGACCATCCTCTGATCCTTTAGCGACTACTCCTGCAGAGACGATTTGTAAGAACTGATGGTAACAAATGCATGTGCAAAGCTTTGAAGATTTTATTGCCATGAGAATGATAAGAGTATGGTCAAAGAGTTTCTTTTCCTCTCAGGTGTATGGTGAGTGCTTCATCCTCGAAGAGCTGAGTGGACTTCGGTTCTTCTTAATCCTGACGCTTCTCAAGTTTGGTAATGGTGGCAAGGAAAGTATCTATCTTACTTGCTTAACCAACATGGACGGGGAAAACGCAGAGAATTTGTACTGACCCGAGTAAATAAGTCCGAACAAGAAGACGATGACATCGACACCCATATCTTTTAATGTCTTCCTCCGATCTTTCTTCACCTTCTCTTTTCCTGCTTCTCTGTTTCAGGTGCTCTTGCGAAGAGTTGCGCTTCAAGAGGGACAAGCAAGTCTACTTAAGCAGTGAAAAGGAGCAATTTTACCTTCATCTCACGATATATATCCGACAGGACACAAGTTCCCTTCATGATTGCAGTGGGGGAGAATATGAGGAGACTTGGGAGGGGAGGATGGGAGCTCGGGAGGCGCACGCAAGAGGAGGTGGTGGAAAAGAGCAGAAAAGGAAAAGGTTGCAGAGGAAAGCAGCAGCAGCAACAGCAGTAGCGACTCCAGCGGCAGCAGTGGAAAGAGGAAGGTGGTGTGAGAGTGAAGAATCCCTGCGTGGGTTGGCTGATGATGGTCATAATGATGATGAAACGAGGGGTGGTGGTGGTGGTGGTGGAGGTGGGAACCTCTCCTTTATCCCACGCTTTTACTATGTCTATGGGACTAAATCATGTGGGAAAGGTGGTGTTGAGCTGCTTTACTTCTTTCCCTCTTTTTGGACTCTCTGACAGTGCCATTTCTTTGGTCTCGAGATCCTCTTCGTTGCTTGCGGCCTATCAGTGACTGTGGTTTCGAGACCCAGATGCTTGACTTCCCATCGAGTTGAGTCAACCTGGCACGAACTTTAAGATCGAAACCTTAGAGACATTGGTGCATGATTGCGGATACTACTGATGTGTGCGTGAAACATAAGCTAAATAAAAAGCCTAAAGCGCATTCACGTCTAATATATGGCCTCAAGCTGATTCAGCAAAGTTACTTGAATGGTGTAACGTACACAGGATTGGGTCAATCTTACCAGTGTAGTAGGACCCGTTGTCCCTCTAAATGATCCGAATCAGACACATCCAACTTGATCCACTCCATGACAATTACATTCCACCTGATTCATTTGATATAATGAATGTTTGGATCAATCGGATCCATTCTTTATGCCCAACCAACCCAATTCGCATGCGGTGGCAATCCGTGCGGGTAAACCCATACGGGTCCATTCCAAACCTACTAGCCCCGTTTTATTAGCGTCTCTCCGAAGCCATCCGCATTCTCCCGCCATGAGCACAGATCAAGCAAGTTACGGAAGCTACGGAAGTTCCTCCTCCCCGTTCTCCCCATCTCTTCCTCTCATCCGGCTGCCGAAGCACTCCTTCTTCACTCCTACGTCGACGTCGTCTTCGGTCCCCTAAACACCCACGTCGGGTCTCGCTCCTTCCGACCTACCTTCTCTTTAGCTCCGTATTCCTCACCCCACCACCCCGGGCTGCATACAATTTCTCTTTCCTCCTCGCCTCCGACAGTCTCCTGGCGCCGGGCTTGATCCAGCCAGAGCAGGCCACGGTGTACGCAATCAATTTTGGGCTCGAGACCCGGGTGTCCGTTTCCATTGTAATGATCCTTATGTATAGGAGCTTTGGGTCAGTCCACGAAGCGTTATGGTGCCTGACGCGAGAGCTGTTCTCAGAGAACTTGTTGCATCGGTTGGCATGGGCATATGATAATATCGACCACGCTAGCGAGTTGTTCGACAAAATGCTGCAGAAGGATGCTGTATCACGGAGTGGCAGATGATGTGCTGGTAAGAACTGACTATTTATGGATGCAATTAACAAATTTTATAGTTGAAACAATTTTTATTTTGTTCAATAAAGTTGTCTTGTCATCATGTATATGCTTGGGCGGCCTTCAACTTAATTGGGCAGTTACCTGGGTTATTTCATGCAGTAGATCTTGCTAGAGAAAGTTCAACTTCTACATTGTGTTTTCTTTTTTTTTTTCAGTACTTTGTGATGATTAGGTTGGTCTCTAAGCGAGGTTAACCTGTGAAGTGACTCATCCTCGGACTAGCATTATTTTATTTGTAAACAATGCTGACAAACATCTTAGCAGCTACAATTTGACTGGGACTGTCACCAGTCAGAGGAGCTAAATTATACTCTTTCCCATTTCCAGAGTTCCATATCCAAACTAGTTATCGGGCAACAAATCATCATATTTTGTTGACTTAGTTTTTGAAATTAGAGAATTCTACAAGCTCATCAAACCTGATTCAATATCCTTAGTATAAATTTACTAAACCTGATTTAATATCTTTGTTATCCTATATATGCTGTGCGACTGAAGTTTTTGAGGCAATGCCTTCGATCGTCATATCTTCCTTTGCCCAGCCATCAATTTTCCTGATCATCATCGTGCATGCAAACTTTAGAAGAAACATGAATAGTTTTGATTTAATGTTTAATATGCCCACCCGGATGTTCACTTTGAAAGAATGAAGGCAGAAATTGTCGATCTAGATAAATTGTTTGACTTTGCTTGATGCTTGTAGCTATTGGAAGATTGGTGGACCAAGGAAAATCTTGTTTTAATCCAATAAGGAATGTTTACATGGTAAATGTTGTCAAGCATGGTGTGATGTTAAAAGAAGCAGAGGAGATGATTTTCAGCAATGGTAATGTCTCCAGAATTTTCCATATGTAGGTTGCACTGCTTGATGCTTTTTTCAGATACATGGAGATATCAAGATGTGATATCGGATCGATAAGGTCAACGAGTGGAGCCTGCAATGTGGGTTATTTTTTTTATTGGCAATCATGTTTTTGGGATCCAGGAGATAGAATGATGCAAGATATGTCAGAACGAGCATCAAAATTGGTGGTGGAAGAAAGTGATGCCACTCCAAATTGATGGTATGTTTCATCAGTTACTCATGGGAAATCGATCTCGCCACACACTAAACGCATCTATTTATCTTTGTATGAGATGCTTTTCAAAGTTTAGCTTGCTGGCTATGCGCCAGAAGTTGGAGAGGTGCTGCTTGACTCCTATCAATTGGACAAAGAGACTGTTCTGTGTATACAGAGTAATATATTAGCCAATGCCTTTGGGTTGATAAACACAAAATCAGGATGCCAATAGCAGTTATGAAAAATCTGACAGTTTGCGGTGACTGCCATCATGCTAGAAAGTCCATCTCCAAGGTCCACGATCGAGAGATAATATAGTGCAGGACAGGATCACGTTTCATCGCTTCAAAGCAGATTATGTTCCTGCAACTTGCAAGAATCACTGGTAAACGATTGAATTTGTGCCAACAAGGAGAATCTATTAGATGACTAAAACTATTCTTTCTCGTCTTCATGTGGTAAAGTTGCCTACAGCTATCCTCTATATTTAATAGGATTGCTCGATTCCATACTAATATCATTTAGCTCTGCTGCTGAAAATTGTGCCTAGTTGCCTTTTTTACTGATTATTTGTGCAATAATTCTTGGGAACTAACCTTTTTTCAATAAATCTTATGAGCATTTAAATATTAAGTGTAGCCATTAGCAGAATATAAATAAATGAAATCTTTATCTTGGTTTGTGGTTAATTACTAGGAAGTATGTCTTCACTTTGACATGCATACTTAGTTATTTAGCGCAAGTCCAAAAGTCTAAAGTGAGATATGCTATAGAAGAACATTAGTGTTGTGTCAGCCACTTCTGTAACATTAGTGTTATAGAAGAACAGTACTGTGTCAGTGTGGACTTAAGCATAAATGGAAACCCTAATAGATTTCCCAGCTGGCAATCTTCAATGACACAAATGCTGAACACCTAGCAATATTGTAAATACTAGTGATTTATAATCCATGTAAGAGAACTAATGGTGTATCAAGTGGACATCCATTGGAAGATCTGAGGAAGTTATAAATGTAAATACTTGTGATTTATAAATGTAAGAGTATGGGACATAACATAGTAAAGTCACATATGGATTATTCTTGGATTGTGCTTTGGATAAACATGGAGTAGAAGCAAAGTAGATCAAGTACGATGCATCAAATCCTAAGCATAAGATTCTATAAAGAAATTAAAATACAAGATGTTCCCACATGACAATACAAACAATAGCTAGCTGGCATATTTGTTTTCCTCTGAGTACTGATAGATGATTAATTATGGAAGTTATGATTGATAACAAACTCACTATGACAATCCATTATATCTCATCGAATTTTCTTCTCCAGTGAATTGCATGCATGTCTTCAACGTGGTAGAACATCAAGGATTGAAGTCACATCTTCATATTTGAGATATCGAGTGAAAGAGAACAGATTTCTGTACCTGCTGTGATAGGAACAACAGGGCGAAGTTTTTGTACCATTGCACCCGGAATAGGACAAACCGAAAAAGAAGTGCTGTGTCACCTGTCCACAGGTTTCGCCAAGGATTGTTCTTAAAGGTAAACGAGAACAACACGTTTCCTTGTATTATATGTTCATCGAATGAATGGTGGTGAAGTAAAGATTGGATTTGTGACAATCTTTACAGAAGGTACTGCTGCAGGATTTGCAGAATGATGCATCTGCATGACCTTAGTAGTATGACAGGTCATTGGGAACTTAGCCGAAAACATGTTAAACCTACCCCCTACCCCCTAACGACCAGCCACCACCGTGGTGGAGAATTACTTTATTGTATAGCAGCCAGCATAAACTAAAGGGGTGTTTATAATGCAAGAGGATATGTGAATTCTTTTAGGTTCCTCCTGGCTGTCGGTCTGGGAAAGTAATGTAAATAATGTAAGGCCAGAATCGGCTGTGGCGTAATCCACATCACATAAACAAAAAAAGGGCCATGACAACCTATTCTTGGGTGGTGGAAGCCACATTGTTTAGTACTTTTATCCGGTCCAACTTCTCCAACATCCACATCCATCCTCCGACTGCAACCAAGACAAGGCCGAAATGCTCTGATCTGAGGACACCATCTTGCACAATGAAAGGAAAGGATTAAAGAACTGGGACAACCACCATTCTTCCTTCATTAGCTAAGCACAAGAAAGAGAAGGGTCAACCAACCCTCATTACCTCAACAATTCTAATCCTCATTGTTATCTTTTATTATTATTATTATTATTATTTAAATATTATTTCAGGATGGATTAGGAGTTGGTCAGCTTCTATGACAACTATTAATAGGTCTTAGAAATTTTTTTTTTTTTTTTATCCAAAAAGAAAAACTGTGCACAAAATCCATGAGACAGCTTCTGACTGCACCATTCCGTGGGCCTCGCGGATCCGGCGAAGCAGGAAGCCACCACGAAAAGGACTAGACCAGCAGCAATAATGGCCGTCACCGACCAGACCACAACCAGACACGAGGATCCCAAGGCCTTCCTTCCCACATGCAGCCCCCACGGCGCTGCAAAAAGGGGTGGAACAGAATCCCCACCCCCCACCACGCCCAGCGCCGTGCGGGTGCGAGGGAGAGGGCCCCGGCCGCCGAAGGCCTACCGGAGATGTGGTGGGTCCGGCGACGTGGTGCGCGCCGAGGCCGAGCACATGGGCGGTAGGTTCGAGGCATCATGTGACGCCATGTTCTCTCGCTGCTGCTGCCGTTGCTGTTGCTGCCACGGGCCTCGACCCGTCTCCTTGGGCTTTATTCTGGCTGCGCAGGCGCCCCCTGAGAAATCATGTGGGCGGGCGGCTTTCGTGGCCTCTGCGGTGCATGTGGAAGGGCGGGGATTGGGGTAGGCGTCGAGGATGGTACACGCCGTGAACTGTAGCAGTGGAAGCGAGGGTTCCCGGGTTTGGTAGCGCGACCGGGAAAAAAGTGTTCGACCGGCTTACTTTTGGGATCATGTGGGAGATGTCATAGCGGTCACATGGTGTGATTGAGAGCGGAAAGTAGGAGGAGCACTACAAGTGGTGACAGAGGATGTCACGGTAGACGGGGGCCCTCCCTCTCTCTCTCCCATAGCATTCTTCCTGAATGAATGAATGAACATCCACTGTGCCCCGAAAAATACTTGTTAATATGATGCTAAAACAGTGAAGGCAACATAATGTGTTTTTTCCTTGGAAATCCACTGTAAACCTTCTCTGCTTTGTTGTCTCGATTGGACCCCCGTGTAATCTTCAGACCTAACACCAACAGGAGTGAAAGCCAAGCACCGGCAACCACCAGCTGAGCCAAGCCACGCCCGCTCTCCCCAGCAAAAGCCGAGACAAACCACATTAATCTGCCGCAACATGCTCCCCGCAGAAACTATTCACACAAACCCCAGAAAACAATTGCAATGACCCCCCCTCTCTTTCTCTCTCTCTCTCTCTCTCTCTCTCCTCGCTGGTATTTGACATTTCCTTCGAGAATTAGACCCCCAACATTCTTAAATGTTATGTTCCATCTCTCTCTCTCTCTCTCTCTCTTCAACATATATATACATATATAGATATATATAGTGCTCATCTCTCTCCCTGCTCCTCAACAACACACCTACCGTCCCATGGACAAGAAGCACGACCACCGCGCGATGTTCTCGCCCGAGCGCGGCCACGACGGCCTCGTGGAGAGGAGCAGGCGGATAAAGATGGCGGCCGAGATGGGCCTCGCCCGGTCCTCCCGTGGCCGCCACTGGAGCCGAGCCCTCCACCGCCGCCTCCTCCGGAGGAAAGGAGCGACGAGCGGCGGCTCATGCGGGTGCAAGGACGAGGCGTTGACCTCCTCCAAGGCGGTCGAGGAGCTTGGGGTGGGAGAGAACGAGGACGACGCGGTGGAGGTCGACGCCCGGGTTCACGCTCTGCAGAGGCTGGTCCCCGGCGGCGAGGAGCTGAGCGTGGAGCGGCTGTTCGAGGAGACGGCCGACTACATCGAGGCGCTGCAGGGGCAGGTGAGTGCCATGAGGGCGCTTGCGTGCTTGCTTGATGAGTTGGAGCGGGACAAGAGGGTGGTGATGGGTGGGTGATGCAATGCATGGTTATCTCGGATATGTATCTTTGGATTGTCTTCTCTCTTTCTTCTTTTCCCTTTTTATTTCTTTTTTATGATGTAAGAACACTGAAGAGAGGTTTGGAGAAAAAATAATTCTTAGTTTTTCCTTTGCACTTTATGTTAATTTCTTGGGTTATGACTTTTGCCAATATAACAATCTCAATTTTACCATTATCATTCATGATGCTTAATGAATGAGTGATATGTAGATCTGACCTCTTTTATCTTTTAAGTGGATTTGTGAAGGAGTATTAGGAGGTCAAAAACAAAACAACACTAGTATGAACAGTGTAGAACAACACACCAAGATTTGCCTCCTCGTCAATCAAACAACAAATGTGAGTGAGTGATTATTGGCAAACTGTCTTCTCTCGATGATCCATTTCTCCAATTTCTATGATTGTTTTGGGATGAATCAATCAATTTCTTCTTCTTCTTCTTCTTCTTCTTCTTCTTCTTCTTCTTTTATATATAATTTTTATTCAAGCTATACAAATTTGTTTCAAGTATATGGGGTTTCTTCACATAAAACGCAATTAATGATAGCTCAGAAAACACATGGATTCAATTAAGCAAGATAATAATAGCATCATCGTCGATACAGTACATAATAATACCGTATAAATACACATTCAAGTAAGACGAGAATACCGCATGAAATGTGTCCCCAATTCCATTTTACCTACCAAATTAAACCACGTGTCGTGTATTTGTACCCAAAGACGCGGCGTGGGTTGGTAATTGGGAATCGAACCATCGTTATAACCGACTCCTCCCTCCATCTCTCTCTCTCTCTCCTCTCCTCTCTTCCTCTCATCGCAAGAAACCCCAATGCCCGACGCCTCTCTGTGCCACGCCCCCACCTCTTCCCTCCCATCGCAAGAAACCCCCGGCATGATGGTATGTTTGAAAGACTTCGATTCTGTCTTCTTTGTTATCTTTCTTGATGTTCTTTAGTGTTTGTTCATTGGGAATATCTCGCTGTTGATGTCAACGAAGTTGTGGTTGCGGAAGCCGTGATTTAAGCGCGGAGGAGATGAGATCCTGGGGGAAGGGGACGATGCAGAACACGAGCAGGCGGCGGGGATACCTTTCTCTATCGTCGCTGTGGTCGGCGTTACCGGGCTTGTGATTCGTGGGCCGGATGTGGTTTATTTCTCCCTCGGCCCTTTGTTTCTGAGTCCGATCCGTGTGGATAAGTGTGCCGGCCAGGAAGCGCGGTGGGGGGCGAAGAGGTTCTTGGATTTCTTGGAGTTTGAAGCAGAAAATGCTGCAAGATCATCGAAAGACGGTCAGGGTTTCTTCATGTGAGTGACGTTTCCGATAATTTCTTTCTCTGGTTGAAGTTGGTTGTTGCGGTAAGTGGGCATGAAATGCTATAAATTGATGATAGGGTTCTGTTCTCATTTTTAGTGGTAATTCTAGTGGATTTCTATAGCTTTCTTTGAAATGAAAATAACCATAAAGTAAAAGGTGTAGTTCCTTGCATTCAGAACTGGTCCAAGAGTTTTGATCCAATGTGCTCCATCTTCGTTGTTGTAATGTGATAATCCTTATCGTTGCTCAAGTTACAAGCCAAGTATGCGTGATCTGCAATCAAGCACTTGCATGAATTTTGTATGGCAGCTACTTGTCTGCATTTTTCTCTTTTCCTTGCTGCTTTCTGTTCTCCATGCTTGGGGGTTAATTTGGATTTTCTTACATTTGAATGGATTCTTTGGTAATAAATTCTTGTTGACTAGTTTCTCATATTCTGATTTATTAGTCCAATTCATGAAAATGAAGTGATCCTGGTTTTTATAGCATTGCTACATGTCCTTGGGATGGTCCCATGCTGTTCGTTCTCCATGGAGTAGCAATGAAGTCTTTGTACTAAAAAGCGTAACTATAGGCTATTACCTCTATGCCACACGCAAAACCCACTGCTGGACAACTGAATTTTCACTCGTGATTTGGATGGAACTTGTTATTCCAACTTCAATTCATGAAGAAAAGGCTCATGTAAGTACGCATGTAATTCTTTTAAGTATCTATATACTCATGCAAATATGTCAATGTCCATGTTAATTTGTGTATCTTCTATATAAAAGAGTTGAATTGCCTGTGTGAAACAAATATATGACTAGCATCGTAAGGAATATCAAATAGCTGACTAGCTCTGCGAGGTCAAGAAGTAAAAGTTGATATTTGAGAATCAAGGCAAATTCTTGAAATTTCTTTAGATTTGCAAAAGATGATGTAAGCAAATGATTTGCCAGTCAACATGCCGCACAATTTTTTTGGATATTGACTGTTTCTCAAATACGATATGCTTGGCCATATTACACCTTCTGCAGCTGTTTCTGTCATATTTATCACTTTTCAGAGATATAATTCAATTAGAATATAACTTTGATGCATTTGCAAAGTTGAAACAAGTGATATGTAGCGGCAGTTACGGCTGACTGGATGTTGCAGATAATTTTGGTTTGTCTGAGTCATTGCAATTGATTATTATTTTTCAGAATTCACCAGCACTGCACTTTTCCAGGATATATGGAGATGCCAATAGACATAAAATTTAGGAGGTTATTGGGAAAAGCAATTTACTACAGAGTTATTTGTTCGGCAGTTGATGGTTGATACTCTTACTGGAAAGACTGTGATGATTGAGAAGATATAAATTAAGGTGGTTATTCGAAAAAGGAAGTTACGGAGTTGTTTAGTCAGAGCATTTGACAGTAGATGAAAGAAAGTTACGATGAAGAAGATATGTGGGATCAAGCTTCTCTGACTTGTGAGACATCCGGATACTCTAAAGATCAAGAACAATCATGTTGCCTCCATCAAGGAGGGGATTGAAAAATATTTTTGAGCTCATGGAGACAGATCTTCACCAAATTTATCAAGGCTAATGATGCTGACAGGAGAAAATATTCCTTCTTTTTTACCTATACCAATGGCTGCACACATTAAAGTATATCTATAAAGGTCAGATCATATTTTCCGGTGATATGTTGCTAGGATCATGTGATTTAAACCAGCCATTAGCTTTAGTTTATCTCTTGACTTAGGAAAATTATAAATTTTTTTTAATGTATATTGCTTACTGCTTTTTGACTAACTTGTTGTGGTTGCAACTGATTTTCTTAAAACTAGAGAAGTTCGTCGACAATTTGGTATTAGAACTCATAGCGTCTTGGAGTTTGGATGGTTCTCTTCTTTAAGTTCCCATCTTGGATTGGTTAGAAACTGAATTCGTGATCTGCATCCTCTTGAATAGGTCAATTTACTAGGTCTTCTTTTTTGGTTTTTAGGAAACAAATATTATTGCAGCTTTGTTGTTTAAATTTCCTGTCTTATCCGAGTAAACCTTTTGATGCTTCCTCTGATCTTCTTCAACAAGAGCTTGAATTCAAGCATTGTGTAATTCACATTGTGTCAATTCACTTTCTTAGGAAGTAACAACCCATGCCATTCGCTGACGTTCCTAATGCTGATCCTTTTTGTACTGGAACTCATGGAGAACTTGTTGGCCTTTTGATCCCAAAGGATGGGTAATTGGCTGAAGAGGTTATGTTTTTATTTTGTTTGTTGGTTCTTAATTTTTTTGTGGAAATTTTGAAGAGATACAGATTTGTTGCTTTTCAATATATGTTACCTTCTATAATTACTATTCACGTGGTAGTCTCTTCCATACTTGATTGTGATAGTTTATCCTCTCTTTTTTTCTTTTTTCTTTTTTTACATATGTTTGACCTTTTTTGAATAAGATCGAGGTTTGACATACTGATATGCTCATCCATTTAAAGATTTTTTTTTTCTTTATTCTTTACATTTATGTTTGGTTGAAGTGTGAAGAATATTTTCGGTGAAATGGGTATGATAAGCTGTTAACCAATGCTGCAGATATTATCTGTGCTTTTTAAAAGTAGCCGATGTTCGTATTCAATGCTTTGTGCAGTGTGTTCAGCGTAAATTTCATTATTGTCACGGAATTTAATTCTCCAATGACTAATGATGTTATTTCCTTTTCATTCGTAAATGATTGAAATCTGGGAAGAATGGGCACACCTGCCACTAATGCTGCTTTGCTACATCTTTAGATCGAAGTATAATTTCATATTCCAAGATGACAAATAAAAATCAGGCATTTTCACTCCCCGCCCACAAAATATTACGCCACCAGATGGAGGGAGGCAGTGATGGGGAGGGACAACGCTACTACTGTTAAACAAGTGAGATGGTTTATTTTTCAATGCAAAACACCAGTGTTGATGGGAAGGATATACAGCCTTTGGATTTGGTTTTGGTTACAATCATCATCTCAAGTGAAATAAAATAAAATAAAAACTAACTATTCACAGGTATGGGTTACCTTTTTGAGGAAGAATCTCGAAGTTTAGAGGAACCAATATACTATAGTGATATCTCAACAAAACAACTGCTGCTGCTGCTGCTGCTGCTCCTCCCTAGTGCCGAATTTCTGTGCAATAATGGGACGGACATCTTCAGCACCGACCAGCGTCTCAAGGAAGGGGAGTATTTGAACCAAAGCATGGTCTGATGGGTCATCAAACCAACTCTCAATTGGTATGCCGTTGTTAACATGCAAATGGAAAACCTGAAAAATAAGGGGAGAGAAAAAGGGGAACCAATCACCCCTTTTGTTAAAAATATTATGTGATTTTATCCTCCTACTGTGAAAAGAAACAGCAAAAAATATTCAACTACCGACAGTGTTAAAAACTGACAATACCTGTGGAGAATTGTCAATTATTGCGACTTTTGCAAGGTCAATCCCCAAAATACCAAGGTCCTTGGTGCAGCTACCTTCTGAGAATATGCACGATTCCCGATACATACGCTTAGAAATTATCTTGTGGTCTGGATCCAGCATGTCAAGTAACTGCGCAGCATATACGCTTTGACTAGCCGTAAAAATAACAATTTCAAACATTTGAGCGACTCTCTCAAGGAACATTTGTAGAAAAGGCCTCCGTCTTACATATACAGTATGAGTTTGCACGTCCAAGATAATAGGAAAGGTGAAATCAGCCCCATCACAAGGCTCCAGCGTAGAGTGGACAAGAGTTTCTGCAGACACACGAGACTGGGATTAGTTTCAAAACATTCACAGGAAACAAGACAACTAGATAAGATCAGGTAAATAAATAAATAAATAAATAAAAAGTTCTAATGATAATGGGAACAATGGAAGGAAACAAAAATAACATCAATATAAAATGTCCAAAGAGAAAAAAATGCAACAGATGTTGACTAAACTTACCATCTAAATCAAGCACAAGAGTTATGGGCTTCCTTTGTTGTGTTTCCTTCGGCGATAGATTAGGACAACTAGATGAAACTGCCTGAGGGAAATCAGGTGAGGTTCTGGACAGTAACTGTTGATTAAACCACTCTGATACTTGCAAATCATCAGACGGACAATTTACGTCAACTTCTTGATGAGTAGCTAAGTAGAAGCATGCATCATTGGAGTTCGTCATGGTTCCTTGATTTGAATCACTATCAAGAACATCACTGGTTTCCATCGTCCTCTCAAGGAATGGCGGCATCATGCATTTCTCTGCCGCATCAATCGGTATGTCACAATTACTATACTCATAATGAGTACAAAACACATCTGAAAGATCTATGCTACCATCAAAAGGTAACCAAGAAACACTCTCTGAGGGGAATTTCAATAATGTGCAAGCTTGATAATCTGTGAAGCCACGGTTTTCATCCTCTCCTTCATCCGCAACCAGATTAGGCAAATTAGCACTTCCATGATTAACTGAAAATAAGGGAAAATTGGTGTTTATTGCATTAACTCAGAAAAGGAATTTACTACTTATGTCGAGAAAAGATTCATATATTGTGCCTAATTTTTTATCAGTACATCATGTGTTATATTAAACTTAAAGGCAAGGCAAATAGAATAATTTTCAAGGACCAGTACCTTCGTCAAAGATATTAGTTGGCTTCAAAAGAGAATCGCCATGCTCAAATTTGGTTGAGAATATTGTTTCTAACTCGTGTGGTATAGTGGCTGACGGTGAACCCTGCAGCAGCAAGCGAAATAGTCACAGGAAAATATAAAAATAAATTAATCTACAAATACACGACAATTGGAAAACAAGCATTTCAACCAGAAATTTAAATATTAACATAAAACAAACATAGTCATTCAACATCATAACTTCAATGACCAAATACAGAAACAATTATGCCAACGGTGAACAATCCCCATGAGCCCTCATAGAAGTCCACATGCAACTGTCGTCTACTTGACAGCACTGGACAAGAGCCATTTGACCCACTCTTCATCCTTAAAATTTGACAATAACTGCACCAGCATCACTTGAACCTATGACAAGTATATGATCTCACCACATATACATGAAAATTCCAAAGTAATGCCTTAATGACATTATTATATTTTAGCGCACAATATTTATGAGAAGCTTGCATGTTTCCCATATCTTATTCTTCTTTGTTTCTCATGTAGAGCTGAAGTGTATATCTTTGACAACTATGATCCTACATCATTGTGTAATACAATCTTCAAACCGTTCATCTCCTAATCCATGTCTACCTACCACAGAAACATTAAACATAGCAAATTGCCATTTAGTTTCACTATTATTAAACATAAACAAGTGAATATGTCCAGCAAGATCTTCCTGGAAACAGGAAACATTTGCTGGTACCACATTTCCTCCTCAGCTTGATCAGCATGAGGTCCATTTAATAGCTAGGAATGGATTACATTGAAAATTAGAGCCAGTTTGATAATTACCTGGTGGGTCGGGTGGGAAAATCCCTAAAATTGGCACAAATTAGATAAGTATGGATCTTTCTCCGGTGCCTCAAAAGGGAAAAAGAGACAGGAAGGGTGTGGCTTTATCGTTAGACCTCCTAATGGCTCTCTGTTATTTGCAGCCACTTCACTAGGGAAATTCTAACCGGTGCCCCGAAAGAGGAATCAACATGGGTTGTAAACAATGAGGCCCAAAATATTTGTGTTGAAAATGAATAGAGGAATTTTTGTCATTTTGTATTTTTATGTTAAATACTTCTATTGACAACAGGACTACATAATTCTGAGAGAAGCTAACTGGTGGTTGATTGGCTGGCTGATCATGGGATGATGTTTGGGTCTTTATTTTTGGTCTTACTCAGTATAGCATGAGTTAGCCTTAACTGAATAACTTTATTTTATAAACATATAAAAATAAGAACATAAGAACATAGCTTATTCAGACACCTATATTAAATTCCAAGAGATTTCAATGTTTTCTGAAATTTAAACCCCTATCCAAGAAAACCCATCCCCATCAATGGTCACGTCCATATGTCACCTATTAGTGGTTTCCAGGATATTTCATTAGTTGAAGGTTAAAAGTTAAAACTAATGAAAAATTTGGATTTATCCTTAGAAGAAGGAAATGTGATTATAATATTCCTCCAAACTTTAAAAATATCATATAAATATCCTTCTCAGGGGTATATATAAAAGAATTTGACTCAAAAAATTATAATATGCCACTGAACCCTTGTATATAATGACAGTAAGTGCAACATTAGAAAAATCTAAAAATAGGGTCTTCTGCATGGGCACACACAGTTCTGCTTCTGATTTGTTGCAATATAACACGTCATCGTATTTTCCCAATTGAACAACTAACCTAATCACCTCATGCTTGTGCTCTATTTGCTCAAATAAAAATATAACCATTCGATCATTCCAATCTCATCCTTTTGTCCCAGTGATTTAAAAAGCGCTAGGCGCCAAGGTCCAAAAACACCCGAGGTGCTAGGCGTTCGCCTGAGCGAAACGAGATGTTAAAATATAAAAATATATAATATAATTAATAAATATAATTATTTAAATTAAAATATAATATTAAATTAAGAAATCTTGTAAAATTACAATATCACATTAACAAAAAATCACAAAATTAAAAACGATAATTTCAAATAAATAAAAATTAATAGTATTAAAATCAAAATAATATATTATTAATCTAATAAATAAAAATAATGTTACTAGTATACAGCTAGTAGTATACTGCTAATATATTGTTAACAATATACGAAGTGAGAATAGTGTGAATAAGAAGATCGAGGTTACTGACTGAAAGTAGCAGTAGCAGCGAGCAGCGACAGTGATAGCAACGGGAGCGGGAGCGGCGAGCGACGACAGTGGCAACGGCAACAGCGATAGCAGGAGCGACGACAATGGCAGCAACAGCGGTAGCAGTGAGTAGCGGGAGCGGGAGCGACGAGCGGCGATAGTGGCAGCGACAGCGGTAGAAGCGAGCAGCAGCAACAGGAGCGACGAGCGGCGACAATGGCAGCGACAGCGAGAGCGGGAGCGACGAGCAGGGTTAGGGTTGGGAAGTCGTCAGAGGAAGGATGATATCGATGCTTTAGTTGGTTCGATTGAACCAACTAAAGCACCGAAGACCGAACTTGACCTAAAATGCTAGTTCGAACGCCTGGTTTAACCCGAGTGCTCGCTCGAAGTGCCCGACGCTTGGGCTCAGGCGAGCGCTCAGGCGGCGCCTCTTTGAAGCGCGCCACCTGGAAATGAAGCGAGGTGCTCGGGCCTCACCTCGCCTCACCCGAGCGCCTATTGAAATCACTGTTTTGTCCAAATAAAAAGGAAGGCACTTTTAAAGGTTATTTTACCAAATAGCTTAACATATTATTTTCTTTATTATGGTCATTGTCTCCCTTTTTTTATTGATTTTTCAAGTCTAAGAATGTCATAGAGCGATAATAGTGGCGAATAAAAACAAATTACCTAGTAGTACTAAACATCATAATATAATGACTTGACTCTCATTCTCATTTAAGGCTAATGTAGGAACTATCTATAATACAAAATTAGTTGACAGCCAGAAGTTATAAAAACCAGAGGCCAAATCCAAGAGGCAGGTGAATTTTACAAGAAAACTATAATAAAAATCTTGGCGTCTAATAAATTAAAAACAAATAACAAACAAGAAATGATGTTGCAACCATAGAGTTGTACACGCAATGTCTAGAAAAGAAAGTAGGTACCTGTCTTCCTACAGGTAAAAGATCGGATGACAATAAGTTCCACAGTTTAGTAGAGGTTTCATTAAATCCAGTTACCACAACATTGCTTCCTGATTGTTCAGTATCAGAAGGAACTGTGCTTAAAAGGTATCCCGAAGGAACTACGCTTGAGAGGCACCCTGTAATATTAAATTTTAACATAAAACAAGCTTAGCTAGCACATATATATCTATGGAACGATGCCCTTTAAAATAATAAAGGAAATAAAATAGTTGTTTGCTATCAGACAAATAATAATCTTCGATGCAAAAAAGATGGGCAATATGATATTTAACTTTTGTTTGTCTGCACAAACAGATTGATGAAAATGAGGTTAACAATGATGAAAATGAGGCAGATTATGTCCAATGGAAAAGTGCATCAGCAGATAGTATGTCCTAACATTAAGATTCCACAGTCGTGCCAAGGAAATTAGAGTGACCCCATATTCTATCTACAGTGGCTCTTGGATTGTTACTTAAAGGTCAAATGACTTTAAGAGTAGAAGCCTACAAAAACCGGGACTTATCTTGAGAATAAATGGCTTCATCATGGCCCTCGGATTTAAGTTTCACATGGGAGTGACAAGATGAAGAAAAGGCTTGACAATATCAGGCATGCAATAGCTCACCATCTTGTTGAAATTGTATAGAAGTGTTCATCTCTGTCTTGCCTTGAGATGCCAAGCTTTGTGATGTCTTAATAAATTTGTAACGAGCACGGGCACTGCATAATCTTACACGACCTTTGTTTGATTTTCTTTTCATTCTCAGTGCTGCCATTTCAGCAAATAATATGTATCGAAGTTCACCTCGACAGGTACAAACTGCAAAATAGAACAATATGCAGTCTACTATTCAGCCTCAGAACGAAATATAAGTCATATAACTTGTGCAATAACACAATTTTCACATATAAATAGGACAAACCAGGCACAAACATGTCAAACCTGGATAAATTTATACGAGAATTAACTGCTAGACAAGAAGGTCACATACATTATCATGAATTCTTTTTCATATAGAAGACTTTACTGCTAGACAAGAAGGTGACATCATGAATTATTTCATTCCCAAAGGAGCAAATAGAAAATTTTGCGAAAAGCAAATCCAAAAAAATGAAAGGGCCAACAGAAAGAAACCATCACGAACAAGAAAAACTATCGGATTTTCCATCTCGGCGAGATCATACATGTTCTGTCTCGCAACAAGTGAACTCCAAGCGAACTTTAATTGAAAGAACAAGAAGACATCTATAGCCCGCAACAAGATGGCGCTAGAAACACATCAAAACCAAAACCCTAAAAAAAAATCGACAGACATAATCATCAGGTGTCTGAATTGAGACTAACAAGCATCAAAGATCGTCCTGAACATTACCAATTAAACTGCATAAGTTTAAAGAAAGAGCTTACCAAACCCTAACAAGAGAATAAACATCAACGAAAGAACAAAAGAAATATAGAAAGAATAGAAAATGAGAATCAACCAAAAACCGACACAGAGTAGCAATTTTGAAATCTTTTATCCCTCCAGCAAATTCAAGAAAATCAAAAGAAAATAAAGAAAAAAAAACAGTCAAACAAACTTCAGCTAATCAGCATACAGAAATTACAAGAAACCACAAATAAAATCCCCGAGACAAAGTAAACGAGAACAAGAACGAAGCCAAAGAATCCACCCAAGAATCGATCGAAGCACGCACGAAACCCACACGACAGGAGATGAATTAGACGCATCGAAGCTCCTGTGAGGCAAGAGAACAAGAAACAGAGAACGGTCGATCAAGAAAAACAGGAGCACGTACTCGAGGCAGCTCTTCGCCCTCCCTTTCTCGCTCTCTCAAGGTCCGGGAGGCGGGGGAGAGAGAGAAAAGAGGCGAAGCGAGGCGACCGAAGAGAGAGAAACCTTTCTCTCTCGTTTCCCTCGCCAATAAAGAGAAGGGCCGACCGACCCCGGGATCGCCGACGGACGGCCCTGATGCGGCGTGCTCTGCTTCTCCTGACCATTAGATTCGCGACACGTCGTTGCTGCGCTCCGAGTCAGCAGGAGGTCGCTTGGCACGTGGCGGCGCTTCACGGATTCAGAGGCCTCCGCCGCCTCCCGTTCGCAGTCCAGTGCACGCTTTCCCCTAAGATAAACGATGGACAATGCCCCACAGATAACGAAACGTGTTTCTTGGACACGTGTCGACGGGTGTAAACGAATTCGAAGCGATGGTATTCGGTGAGACTTGAGGGAGAACAAGGCAGGTTGATAAGTTCACTCCGCTTTGTGGTTTTTCTTCCATCGATCGGTCTACGCCTATTCCGCGAGAGAAGAAGGATGGAGTCCGAGCGAGAAAAGAAGGGGACATCACGAGAGCCGCAGTTGACCGTCGCCGGCACCTGACGTGCACGGTGCTATTGTACTCGTCGGCAAAGAAAAGAAAGCCAAGTACAGAAAAAAGAAACATACGGTGTTGTCTTGCTTGCTACACTACCTATTACTCAGCAAAGACGACCAATGCTTGTCTTTAGTACCACATCGCAAAGTTGTGGTCGAGGCCAATGTTCTCAACTGGCTGGCCACGAATGATACTATTACTCGGGTTTCATCTGACGAAGCTAATCGGACTATCAAGGCCAGATTAGGCCCGGCCCATTTCGTTCATCAGACGAAATCTAGGAACTAACCCATGCAAAAGCAATTAGAATTAGGGTTTCATTTTTCAAAAGCCAATCCGATCCTGGATTTAATTTTCCCTGTATGGATCATAGAATTAGGGTTTCTTCATCTATTGCGTCCAAGCATGAATCCTAAACCTTACGAAGCTATACATGACATGTTTTATGTTCATGATCTCAGACGGTAGCAACAGAAAGGATCGTTCCCAGCGACAGCGAGCATATATTAATTGCATCCCCTCAACATGCATGAAGAAGATGCTGCAAAGAATTTATGGTAGCCATTTGATCTCTTTTACTTCAGCACACGAAACTAAGAACGAGTTCTGGCGAAGAGTTAGCATGTAAAGAAGCCATTTTTGTCAATCGAACAACGACTCGAGCTGTGACTACCTCTCCTGGTTCTACAGGCCGCTGATGGGAACGTGTACTGCACACAACAAATAAAACCAGCTGATCATACATATATATATATATATATATAATAATTAAGGGTTATATATAATGTGTGAAGATAATGATATCGTATGTTACTTCGTTTGACGTCTCACCATGCCAATACTACAGATGAGGAAACAATGTGTCATCCACGAAGAAATCAAGCAGCCAAAGCAATTGTTTTGAGCTTCCGGAAGCACAATCTCTGCAGTGATCTAATAGACATGAACACGCCACAACAAACTCCGTTTACCAAATAAATGCCAGAAGACGATAGTGTCGATCTCATCTCATCATCTATTTTTCCAAGAAAACTCTCGCCATTTGCTATTGCAGATGAAATGTGAGATGAGCTCTCAGTCGTAGTGGAGAAGAATTAGGCACTCGGTTATCTCGGCAGATTTTAGCCTCGAGAGTTTGCTACGTTATCTCAAGATATTAAAACTAGATTCATGTACAAGAAAGCGGGGGGGGGTCATCGCATCATACAAAAATAGAGGTCTAAAACAAGAAGCTGCAGTAGTGAAGCCGTATCCATATTATCATGGTTGGCCGCCGTGAATGAAGGAAGGAATTATGTCTTGCAGGAGACCGTAGTCGGGGAGTTGGAGCTGCTGGAGAGAAGGCGGCAGGTTCGCCAGATACACATTAGGGTTTATGTTCGCTTGCAGGCTATTGTCATTGTTCAGTTGGTTCATCTGCTGCATCACAAGATTCTGGCAGAAGCTGGTCGACATCGCCGAAGGAGGTGGTAACAAGTGTGTGCTCCCTCTGACTGTTGCGGGGCATTCGTGAGCATGTTTCCCTTCGTAGGTGGTGATCACGATTCTTGGATTCTGATAAGATCTCTCCACCCTCTTCTTCACCGGGCACTTCTGTGTCGTGCAACGATAGTAGCTCCTGCAACGCACAAGACACACGAGCATCGTCACAAGAAGCGATGGCTTCGAGAAGCAGAAGAGGATATATGTGAACTCGGGACCAATTTGGTTGACTAACCTCGGGTAAGGGCTGTTCTTGACTGCTTTCTGGCCGTATTTCCTCCACCGATAGCCGTCGTCGAGATGATCGACCTCGCTTTCGGTCACGAAAGCAAAACGGGGATCCCTTTGCCTTTTCTCTCCTTTCTTTTTGCTTTTGTTCCTGCTTCAATGGCGACGCAGCAACCACGAGACAGAGGTGAGTGATGCAACTGCTACCGGTTAATTCTTGTTCATGGATAGATGCCAGAAATGAGAGCGCGGTAGATAGAATTCATGTGGTTCTTTTAGTTTGTTGGTTTCGAGAATTTGAGATCCGTATGCATTACTGATCTCTGATTGAATCCCAAAAAAGGAGCTCGAGGGAAGACCTTTGGGTTCGACAGAAACAAACAAGATCCAGTCAAAAGGCTTATAGCTAAGATTCCCAAAGGTGAGAAAGAAAGGGGGGAAGAGACCTTTTCGGCTTCGAAGAACCCTTAAGGGTCTTGTTTTGTCAGGTAAGGTGGGAAGCCCTTGAAATTTTATGCCGATAGAACAAGGATCAATGGAAAGGTCTCCAGAAAAAGCAAATAATGCATGCTATTGAACTTTTCTACTTCGAATCAATCCACCTATAGAAATCGATATGCGTGCAGGAGAAGAGAAACTGAAGCTTACACTTTCTCGGACGTGTCACCCCCTTCCTCTTCCACCTTGACCCGTTGCTTCTCCACCTCCTCCTCCTGCTTCGGCTCATCCTTCTTGCACCGCTCGGCATCTTCTTCGCCGGCGGCTTCGGTGGACGACCAGGAGGTCGAGGAGTTAGGCGTCATCGGGGTCGCACTTCCACCGCACCCGGACGACGGCGTCATGCTGTTGCCAGCATTGCCGACATCCGCCATCAGTTCACGGGACGACGCCATCCCACCGGGAGCAAGCACGTCAGACGGCGCCGAACACGGTAAGTCGAAAGCTCGAGCGAGAGCGCCGTAGTCCATCATCGAGCCACGCAACACGTCGGTGAGGCTCACGGGCGGCGGTACCGCCCGGGGGCCGAAACCGCGTGGATCACCAGCACTGTCGGTGGCGCCGCCCGCTGGCTTCCAGGAGACGAGCGACGACAGCTCGTCATGCGACGGGAAGCTGAAGTGACTCCGCTCCTGATCTCCAGACATGGGGAGAGCCCGGTGTGAAAGAGATCGGAAGAGAGTAGTGTTGCGTGGTTTCGGTGCAAAGAAACGGGGAGGAGGGAAATGAGCGGAGGGGAAGGACGCCTCGTGATCTATAAATGTCACCTCATTCCATCCAATTTGTCATTTGGGTTTCATTATCTCGTCGGCTTTCTTTTGACACGAGGTGGCAAACTTTGAGAATGACCGAATCATCCGAGAAAATTTGCCTGGCGGTACTTGCCACGGGCCCCACCACACCTGTATCTCGCCGTGGGAATGGAATAATCGTCCCGGGGCACATGGGACTGAGTCAACGACGACGGGACAACTGGCTATCGTCGGTCGCGTGGAGCGGCGTGGGTTAAGCGCTCGAGAGAGGACAGTGGTCAAAGGAGGTTAATACCGTGCTTCACCCTTTCCGCGGCATCGACTGACGCGTGCCGGTGGGGAAGCACCGTCATTTGACCGCCCCCCTTCGGCTGATGCTGACTCGACGCGTGGATCGCGTCGCCGACGACCTTGGGGGGCGTGATGGTCCCCCACCGATGTGAGCGCCCGGGAGTTGACCGCGGAGCGCCCTCTAGTCCCTTCGATCGGACTCGGACGATCCTGATCCAGAAGGCGTGAGACCCCACCGGCTGCGGGTGTGGATCACGTGCATGCACCCCAGTGCTATGGTCTCGGCCGTAGTCAAGAACGAGCTGTCTCCGTTGGGACGTACAAGACAATGTTTGGGTGGCAATTCGCTGGGTTTCCATCGACCCAAACACGGAGCTATTCATATCATAATTACTCCCATCTCGATTGGTCTAAAGCGTGCTAAAGAGATAAATGGATTTCCCTATACATATTGTTAGATATTTCCATGTAGTTCCACTCATCGATGACACAATTGAGCTCGACTAAAGTACTCTTATCCTTCTCAGCTCGTGACCAATAATTCACTTCATTCAAATAATTTATAGCCAAGGAATCAATGTTGCGAGGTTTCTAATGATTTTTAGATGTCGATTTTCAAGAAATAGTATAATAATATATAAACAAGACAAGCCTCTGTGATGGCCAATTTCTTATTCATGCATCATCTGAAACATAAGTCAACCGATGCAGCGATGCAATCTTCTCGCTTTGATCTCGCACCACCTGCTTAAACATGTTTAGATTTCAGGAGAAGAATAAAATAAACATCTTCAAAATTCACGAGCAGGAATTGTATTTAGTTTGAACTTTTACTGGTGCTTAGGTTTGACTTTGTTGCAAGGTCATGCAGGTCTCAGATGTTTAAAGTATACATGATTTCCCAACTTAATCCAGGATGAGGCATGCACCTGTTCCCATCATTATAAAATGACTAGAATATGCTCTAGATATATTAACTACACTTTTCTAGTGGCAGCAGTTGCATGCTGTAACTCATATTGTAGTTGATAGTGGGGGGTGGAAATTAACCTCATAGTCAAAGTAGGAGACCCCCCTAAAAGGAACAACAAGATCACATGACATAGTAGCATGAACAATAATTAATGATATAGGTGTTGCATAAGGAGGGCTATTGGATAGGATTTTGATGGATGCTACCTAAGCAATCTTGACTTCTCGAACTGGTAGTGCATGCAGCATAATTAGAGGATTGAGACTGAAGAGGAGCCCTTCATCCATGTGTTTGGCTCCTTGTAAAACCTTGTAATCTTCTTGTCTAGCCCTGAGTGGATCTACCCAGGCCACTACTGTTCTCTTCCAGATCTACCTAAGACGAGTTCGCTATATACGCTTCCATAGCATGGAGGTGTTTATCGAGTCCAAAGATGCTGCTGTATTCATGTCGCTGCTAACTCTCGACACAAGAAGATGAGAGGGAGTTGCGGTCTATCCCGTGGAATTACGTTCATGGTGTTCGTCATTTCCATGTCATGTAATTCTCGTCCACTAGAGCGATGGAAACCTAACAGGTAGCGACACAGTGATCGATGCGTCCAACTCGAACCTACCCTCGACCAACCTTTCCGAGGACGGATCACATGCATGCATGACGTATCAAACTGCGCCAAGAGAAGTGTATTCCATATGTATATTTTATTTGCCTGTTCTGGTGAGAAGCCATTCATGCGACGGCAAGAGAAGTGTATTCCCTGATGTATACCTTCAACTTGGGGCGGTTGCTTCGGCTCTACGTCTACGTCTTCTTCTCTCTTTTGAGAGAGAGAGAGAGAAGGGATGAGCCTGAGATTTTTGACCGAGTTGGATGGGGTGGAATTTGGCGGTGGTGTTTGGTCTGAGGACGTCTCCGTCGGAGGTGGAGCGCAGGTACGTGCTTGTTAGGCTTTTGAGCGACCACATCGCGCATGAAAGAGGTGGGAGTATTGATCATGAGATGGACCGCTTTTGTGGCTTCTCCCAAGCCATCATTGTTGTCCATGGTTTTGATGGCCATGGTCAAAGCAAAGTTGATGCAAAAAGTCATGTAGGCTGACGCAAATGGCAATCAATACATTGTTGCCTCCCGATGATTCGTGTAGTGAGAGAGTGAGAAGGGGGTTACGGTTCTTTTTGTTTTCACACCAGTCTACTAATATTTAATATAGTGAATATTACATCTCTACTGCATCTAAACCTATTTAGAATTTAGAGAGAGAGAGAGAGAGAGAGAGAGAGAGAGAGAGAGAGAGAGAGAGAGGGGGTTGAAGTAGCAACGTGATCATGTGATATCAATTGTTGGGTCTTTCTTCTTGGTTCTAATTTAAGGCTTATCCATGCTATTGGGAGTATGAAATAGACATTTTGCCCATGGAAATGAGAACATTTTCATAGCAATGCTGCTGCTGCTGCAAAGAACAGCATAAACAGCAAAATCTACTACAGAAGCCTAAGCCTCTCAGAAAGATTATGGCTATCATTCAAGTGGTAAACTCGTTAGGTGAAAGGAACTCTCATCAGCTTTTGCATAATTGTTTCATCATCGACTTCCTACAGTGGCAGGTGGATCGAACATCGACAGAGCCTCGATCATCCTTCCATTACTTTTGCAGTTCATGCATCTGTGTCCCACCACATACATCCCATTTGTTTTATGCTGCTGCTGAGGTCTCTTTTCTCAAATAACTGCGCTATGGAGTGTGAATCTGATTCTCAGAAGCAGTAATGGACCACCATAAAACAAATGACTATTTCTAATACAAAAAAAATGCTGAGAGACCATTCATCAAGCCAGTAATCCAACTCGTGCAGCTTGGACCATGCCATATGTCTCCTATGATTGGCCTGTTTCAAATAGTTTTTCTTCAGCAAGTTTTGAACCGTGTGGATACTGTGTATGAGAGTGAGTGAGAGAGAAGGTATGGACTTGGTCTAAACCCTAAAGAGCGGTATAAGACTGCTCCCACCTAATCATCTTTTACAAATGGCATAAAGCAGAACAAGTGGTGTTGGGCAGCTTTGCATTGAAGACAGTACAGTGGGTTCCAAGGAACAGGACAAAGGACACCCAAAGTCAAGGATGACCCCTGCAAAGGTCAGCTTGCAGCCCAGCCCCCATCCCTTTCTCACCACCTCTTTCTTCCCCAATTATTCCTTCACACCATTAACTGCTATGTCAAACCAGTAGCCGCTCCAAACAGGGCTCTGCTCGCCACGGAAAACTTGCATTTGTTTATTGGGGAGTCCATACGCGGCTGCACAAGCTTACATGATGCACGTCAAAGATCGTTAAAGGTCTCAATAATATATGCGTAGCAGGTTGGTGCCGTTCCCCCATAATAAATAACGACCTTTGACTCCTCCTTATCCTCAAGGAAATTGATGGAGGAAGAATCTTTCCTGTAGACGTCTCCCGGTGATTTCACACTGCAGCGAGCCAATTATTAGAGGAGTTCAAGATCTTACACTTGCCGATCGAATCTGTAATCCCCTTCTTTCTGTTTCCTGGCAAATATGATTTGGATCAGAGAAACGCCAACAAAGTTGACACTGCTGCCAATTATATGGCACACCGATCGATGTGGTCGAAAGTTGAAGCCTTTTTGTGCATACGTGCATGTGATTCCAATCTCGCACTCCTTTGAACTCGCCGCCCTGTACTTTATTCAGCATCCGATTCAGAATCCCAAGACTACAGGATGTCTCTCTCTCTCTCTCTCTACTCTGCATTGGATTCCGGATTAGGAGGGTGTCACCGTCAGCTTTCATTAGAGAAATATCTTCTTGGTACGTCAGTCGACATTGTTGAAGGGAAAAGATGTCGCGGGGTCGAAGAGAGAGAAGAAACACGAGGAGTGAGGTGATGATGACGTAGCGCTGCGGTAAGCGTGCGTTAGTCTTCGTGGAAACACCGCCGCAGTTCTTCCGGACGCAACGTTATCTGGAGCGGCAGAAGCAATGAAGAGGCACCACCTGCAAGCACAAAATTAGTATGAGAAGGACGGAGAAGCAAAAGGATCGTGGATTTTTTGTGGTGTGTCTAACGAGAGACCTTCTTCTGTTTGATCGAGTCAGCAGTTCGTCGATAATACCTTAAATTCATCTCTGGAGGATTCTGATGGTTGATACTATTGATTGTTCTGTCAGGACTTGTCCACAGTGTGAAGTGTTTAGGTCACAGCAGATACATTGCAACAAGTCATTCCGAGAGAAACATATCTGCAGCATTCGATCTTACATTCATGCAACCCAGACATTAATTCTTACAACTTGAATAACACATGAGAACATATGTTTGTGCAATGCAAACCGGTGCATTTGAAATTGTTCAAATCAAGAACAGATGGCAAGAGTTGAGGTACGGATATACACTTATTCAAGGGTGAAAAAACATCGGAGACAGCAGCTCAAGCTTCCAATTCTAATAGAACAGACAAATATAATTTACAAGCAATGAATTTTCATCTAATCCATCTCCGGGTTTCATCCCACTTACTCATAGTCATCAGATTCCTCGGAAATCTCACCGCTTTCCTGCAAGATAATATAGAAAGGGCATTAGGATCCATACTAGAGAGGCCGTCAGGAGGAGGGTAGGCAAACAACTTGGAAAGGGACCTCTTAAAAGATCACCAACCTTTCTCTTGATATATGCTGCCATGGCCTTCTCAAACTCAGCTCGTTTTTCTGTAGCTATGTCATAGTAGGCAACCTTTTCCTAGCAAACAACGTAAAATAAAACTCAATGAAGTCGATACTAGCTTTGCCTAAGCTGCTTAATTCCGCTAAACATGACATGTAGCACATCGTACCCCTGAGAAATATTATTTTCCAGGGTTACAAGGGTTCTAACCAAAGTCACAATGTTCCCTTTTCTTACATATCATTTTGTTTTGATAGAAAAATCAATAACTAGTGTAATAGTCGGAAGACTTCACATACTCATTTCTGTCGAAAATGACATCATAAAAATACTTCAAAAAGCTTTTACACGAATCATTGAGTTAATAGGCAAATTATAACTTGGCTTTTGAAACGTTCTGCCACTTCTTGGTCCAAATTGATTCGTACATCAGAGAAGCCACATTTTTGCATTCAAGCCTAATAAATATGAATCCAGTTTATGTTGGACTAAATCATCTATTTCATATAAAAAAGGTCAACTATTCCGGTTGCCGCCAAAATCTAATAAATCTTTATGCTCAATGAGCGTCTTTATCAAGATGGGATAGGCAATCTTGGTTGTTCATGTACCACAAAGAAGAAAATCAGCAATAGCACAAACAGAATATATGAAACCCAGTTTCAGCGGGAGAATAGATTTCTTTTATGTGGAAAAGCCTATAAAAGAAGTGGTGATGAATGGTTGACGGGAGAAAGAAGGATTACACTTGAACTTAAAATTCATATAAATCATAAATGATTCTTATGTATTACTTCTGCAGAATTCGCTGACACCCCAGAATCAATAAATACTGCATATATAGCCCACTGCCTGCTCTTGTTTCAAATAATTCCTTCACAATTTAACTGAACTTTGTAAATCGTCACAATGAATCTTCTTATCCAATATCACACATATGTATTTTTTATCTTGATTTGTATCATATACAAATCGATTGCCTAAATCTGCAGAAAAGATGTCAAGATCTAACCTCAAATGACATTGTTTTCCACTTCTCCCCACATGCCTTACCAATCTGAAAGTTAACAAAAAAAAAAACTGTCATGCAATATAAACAATATAACTCAAATCAGTTGAAACATAATCTACAAGTATTATGTACATACATCCCGCATGGATTTGACATTTGGATTTTCTTGTTGGTAAGTCTTCCGAAAATCTTCCCTTCAGAACAAAAACATGGTTCTTTTAACACATTTATTCGATTGAAACTAAATTTTCACAGACCACACCTCTAAAGAAATTTAACATTCAGACTAAAGACAAAGAAGTAAGAATTATCATCAGTTGACAAATTGGAATAAGGAAACGAGGTTAAACATACCGATATTAGAGTAACAAGTATAATCAAGAACTGAAAGATTAAGGATGAATTATATACAATATCCACTTATTGTGACTGGTTAAAAGGCACGTTTTATCTTAGGAAATTAGAAAGCAACAAACATATAATTCATATGGAAGAAGCAGCATACTGAGAGCAACATTCATAAGCGAAAACCTCTCCCCTGATATTAAGTCCTGATCTCAGTCCATAAGCAGAAAAAACAATTAGTCTCTAGTTCCTTCCACATGAATCCTATTATAAGAAAAGTTATTAGCTTGTTTCTTCCTATACAACAACTATTTCTCTAAAGGCTTAGAAACTAAGGACGATTATGTGAAAATCCCACATCTCATTGACAACCTTCAAGATTAATTTTTCAAGGATCTTTCTAAAAGAGAAAAAAAATTAGAACATGAAGCTTTGTATCTAATTGCAACAGCCTTTTGCATGGTAAAGTAACATATATACCACTAATGGCATTTATGTCAACTCAGTTCATCATGATAATAATCACCAGTAGCTCCAGAAGAATCTTGGTTTTCACAATTACGACATACAAGTCGTGGAGACTTCTTAGCCTAATCTCATCCTATTACCCTCTAGTTCAAAATAAAACATACAACCCACAAAAAACAAACCATCACAGAAAAATACCTTTGCCATTACCCACCTGGCATTGAAGTGTATATCTGCCACATATGATGTTATGAAGTGTCATGTATATTCTGGCAAAATGCCATGTCCAAACATAAAGCACCACACAGATATCATATCAACAACTTAGCCATGGGGAGAAACTGAGTCGGATGATTCGTCTCTGTTTTTGTATCCACTCAGAGTTGGCTATTGTTGTATAAATGCAGAATACAGTACTTATCTAATGCAAGATTTTTTGATTGTTTTTCCCAAGTACAAAATTTTTCCCCTCCATTTTCTTATCACACTTAATGTGAAGCCAACCTGACCAAGACATATGCTTGTAACTTGTAAGTTTGACTTTTTGAGTTCATGCCGCCTTTGTTATTAACTCATCTGATTAATGCATATTTTCACATAGATGTTCACCTTAAAATCATTTAGTTTCATGTTTATCCATCATCAGATTAGTATTCATATTCATGTTAAACAAATATGGATACAAAAATTAGTATCCATTTGATATGCATGTCAAGATCTAATCTGCAGACTAAAAATGGGTACCGGAAATGGGCAGGGGTTTCCCAATTCCAATCCATTTTCACCCCCAAATCGGTTTCATACATCACAAGTGTGGAGAGAAGTTGTAATGGATTATAGGGTTTGATGGGTCTACCGTTATAAGTAGTAACATGCCATATCTCTTTCTTAGTTCTCACCAATCAAATCTATATCCAACCAATCTCAAGATAGTGGCAGTAAAGTCTTATACCGAAGCCAGTTCAGGTTGCAATAATCGTCATTGTCTCAAGAACGAGTCTTACCATGTTTATTAGTATCCATGTGTTCCACCTACAATATAAGTCGATGCAAAAAGGCGAAAGGTATGGTCTCAAAAGTTGTCTGCAAGTATAACCGTTCATTCCAGAAATCATTAGTAAGAAAACGAATAACAACCAACTCTAAACCTCAATTAACCTATGTTTTTTTTTTCTTTTTTCAATTAACCTATGTTGCATTCAGTCAACCCAAACAGAAAAAAGACCAACAAACCATCCACTACTCATTTGGGGCTGTTCTCTCTCATGCAAAGGCAGCCCACAAGTGCAAAATAAATCTATTTCTGAAAATTTGAAATTACGAGTACCTTATCCGCTTTTTGAATTAATACAGCATTTTTTTTTTCCTTGGGAAAAAAATTACGAGCACCTTTGTTTCCGTAGGCTGATAATTTGGTAAAAAAAAAGACAAAGCTATGAACTCATAGTGAGGATAACAAGTGTGGGTAACTCGGACATGACAATATCACATAGTATGGGGGACAATCCTAAACTTTATCAAACCCTAGAACGCTTCATACCCGCTCCAAGCAAAGATATGATATTATACATGAGACTTCTGAACACTCAGCCCTACTGTCACAGCCTTAGTTGGAATTGCCTAAGACGTGAGGCACCCTTGCGGCAAAGACGCGAACTTAGCTTGCGTTGCCTAAGTCGCGCTTCGCCCTTGCGATTTGCGTCCGCAAAGATCAGCCCGCAGGTCCCGAAGGACCTGTAAAAAGAGAAAGTTGATTAGTTCAAAGAACGAGCGACGGACAAGTCCCGACGTCTCACGAAAAGGGAAAGCTTTACAAGCAATTCAACGAGCACCTTGCGTGCACAAGAGAAAAGAGGGAGAGAGGGAAAACAAGGACTTTAGAAGGTTGAACGAGCAACTGCAAGTCCACAAACAGCTGCTCACCGAGTGCCGGGCGCGACAACAAGTTCTCGTCAAGGTAATGTGCGAACTTGCGAAAGATTGTTCAACGCCCGACACTATACCGAAGCCCCATCCAGCCTTGTGCCACCCAGGGGGTTCCAAGGGGCTGAGATGGCTGACGTTTTTGTGAGCGGAGGCGGACTGCAAAAAACAGCCCGTGGCACACGAAAACGGAGCTGTTTTTGGGCTGTTTTGCTCAGTTCGGTGAGCGGTCGTTTTGTAGCGCTGCAACTTGTTCGAACTTACATTTTTACAAGCAAAATTACTCAAAACCAAGACAAAACATGCTGCCAAGCTGCTGTACATGTAGATGAGAGCGACGAACGGCTCGTTGAACGGAGTTATTGCGGGTGCGCGACGACCGTTCATGACATTCTCCCCCACTTAAACTGTCGACGCCCTCGTCGACGCTTGTTGGTAGTTGTTGATAATTGTTTCTTCATGTCGCAGGGTGTCTTCGGGCTCTCAATTGGCTTCAGTTCGGGGAAGCTTTCGCCACTTCACCAAGTACTTAGTCTGCTCAGCTCCATTGGGTAGCTTTATCTTGCGATCCGCTAAAATGGTTTCAACTCGCTTCTCGTAGGAGACTCTGGTGGGAGGTAGCCGAGTTGGAACACTTCGGGAAGCATCTTGCGAATCCGAGTGGTAGGCTTTTAGGTTGCCAGCGTGAAGAACGTTGTGAATTTTGAACCACGACGGCAGCTGCAACTTGTAGGAGACGTTGCCTACCTTGCTGATAATTGGGAAGGGCCCTTCATACTTGCGCACCAATCCTTTGTGGACTTTGTTCCTAAAGAATTGGTGTAATGCTGGTTGGAGCTTTACCAACACCAAATCGCCGACCTTGAACTCTTGTAGTCGCCTTCCCAAGTCTGCCTACTTCTTCATCCTTTTTGTCGCCTTCTCCAAGTAAGCCCGCGCAATATCTGCATTTCGGTGCCACTCCTTTGCGAAGTGGCAGGCTGACGGACTACTCCCAGTATACCCGATTGCCATGGTGTGAGGAGTTAACGGTTGTTGTCCTGTAATGATCTCGAAGGGGCTCTTGTTGGACGCAGAGCTCCACTGCAAGTTGTAGGAGAATTGGGCAATGTCCAACAACTTCACCCAATCTCGTTGGTTGGCACTCACATAGTGCCGAAGATATTGCTCCAGGAGCGAGTTTATCCTCTCGGTTTGGCCATCCGTCTGGGGGTGGAGGCTTGTGGAGTAGTATAACTTGGATCCCAACAATTTGAATAGCTCGGTCCAGAATCGTCCCAGGAACCGAGCATCTCGATCACTGATGATATTGTGCGGGACTCCCCAATACTTCACTACATCCTTCATCATCAGCTTGGCCACCTCCTCTGCTGAACAGTGTAGGGGAGCAGCAATGAAAGTTGCATGCTTTGAAAATCGATCGACTACCACGAGTATCGATCCGAGTCTCCCTACTAGTGGCAAGCTTGATATGAAGTCCAAAGAAATGCTCCCCCACGACCTTTTTGGTACGAGCAACGACTCTAAATGTCCCACCGGCTTCCGCTGCTCCGCCTTGTCTTGTTGGCAAGTGAGGCACGTTCGAACATATTCCTCCACATCAGTCCCCATCTTTGGCCAGTAGAAGGCCCTCTCCACGAGAGCCAACGTTCGATGAATACCTGGGTGTCTAGCCCAAAAGGAATCATGACACTCTCTTAAGAGTTCACGCCTCAAATTGTCCACTCGAGGAACATAAACCCTATTCCCTTTTGTGTACACGAGTC